ATATGTGGATAGAACCGTTTAATCTCATCTAATAGTATTGCTCAACGGTCAGAAACTTGTCAGTATTTCAGTAACGTGTCAGCATGATGTGAGCGACTGTCAGCGTTCATGTTCCGTAGACTCACTGTTCACTGCTGAAGAGAATGACATGATTCTCAAGTTCAGCTGAAAATTAATGATTGGAATAATAATTTTTTTTTTTTTAGTCAAGACAAGTCAACTATTATCAATAATGCCATATGTGCAGGACATACAGAGAATTGAAATTGCGTTTCCCTCTTATTTCCGGTGCAAACAGCATTAAACATGAGATATAAAATATAAGTAAGTAAAAGATATAAAAAAAATAAAAAAAAAACATTTACAAGCTAAAAGAAATCTAAGAAAAAGACAGAGGCAAATTTAGAAGATAAAAAGTATAATTATGGTATATGAACAGAATTAACGGTATAACAATATAAACAGTCACTCCGAGTTTCAGTTTCCTTTCCCTCTCTTTTCTCTGCCCGATACATCCCTCTCTTTCTCCTCTATTCCTCTCCACTTGACATGGGGGGGATCTCTCTCTCTTCAGCTGCCAGAGAGAAGTGTCCTCTTTATTTTCTCCCCTTTTCATCTCTTTTCCTCTCACGTTGTACATCTCTGTCGCAGCTGCAGTGATTGAATAATGCATTGTTCCTAGAGAACCTGGCTGTGTTTGTCTCTCTGTCTCATACACATGTATCAGTGCTACACAACTGTTCATTTACTTAGGAGATCTGCTCCAACAATCTTTGTGTCTGTGCTACACTGTCTGACCTATATTTTACAGTGAAGGTTTACAGGGTAAACTTATTTTTCAGCTGCTCGTGACTTTCAATACATGACATGTCATTAATCTGTGACATGTGAGTGCTTCAGTGATGATTGAGGGTATGTAGAAGCTCATTTTACCTAAAAGGGAAAGTATTCACACATATATATTCACACATGTATGTGGGCCGCAGTAAGCTCACATACATGCAGTATACTAAAATAACACACAACCAGGCTCGAGCTGGCCACTAACACACAGCAAAGGTCTGTTCAACCTGAATTCCTCCTCTCTGAAAGAGGAGACTGAGAGTTCCTCTTCTTCATCGCTCCATCTTTTCCTTCCCTGACACTGGTTTCACCTGGGAGAGCAGTGAAGAAGAGCACGGAAGGAATATTTTAACTGGGTCAGACCCTGCGGCAACAGACACAGAGATCTGAAAGTCTTTTTCGATCTTTCTTTTTATTTAAATGGATAAAAAATAATGGCATTCTGTGCAATGATATTCACAGATGTCTGTTTTTTATCTTTGACCTCTGAGAAGGATGATCAATGGACATGGATGATGATCGAAGCATAAAACTGAGATTTTTATTATCTTGATATTTGGTGTGCAGTAAATTATAAACATAAATTATAAATGTTGGAAATATATTGTTAATTATGTAGAGGCCTACAGATAGGGACACCTCATCTATACTTCTTCTCCAAATAATGATTGCACATTACTTTACAGTGCCGTCTCTAACACAAGCACATAAAGTCAAATATCGCAATCATTTATATATAATTCATTATCTTTATTAAGTGTCTTACATTAATCTATTCTATTTTCAACCACTGTTAATTATCTCGTGCTCTCAATTCATCCCCAAGATTTATTCACAGTTTTTATTGAAATACATGTATTTATTAGTCCTTGCCCTAATTTCTTTAAACAAACATTCTTTTAAAGTCAGTTCTTCATGCATTATATACATGTCCTACTCTCTAATCAACTGAAACATTAAAGTTCAATATCAGGTTTTAGTTTGTAGGTATTTTTCTGTTGATATGTTCCAAGCAATAAGAAATCCTCCTTTGGCCAAAGCGGATGTAAAGGCCAGTCAGGCTTCAGGCTGTTAAAAGCACAGCAGATCTCCTCATCCTCAAAGCCACTGGCAGGTTGGACGGTGTTTGCAAGCTGAGCTGTTTGTGCTGCGGGAATCAAGCAACACAAAACACTCTGTAGAGTCATGTTTTTGGCAGTTTGAGCCCCCAGGCTGAACTGGAGCAGGCGGGTACAGGGAGAGGCACACCGTAAACACACACACACACACACACACACACACACACACACAAGGTTTTAAGTGGCAGCTTCAATGACGGTATGTTCTCCTGAAACTGCTTCTTGACTGCTCAGCGTGAATAGCTTCTGTTTCTCTGCATGAGATCTTGAGTCAAAAGACACTGACGCTCATTCACCTGTACCCAGGAAAATAAAGCTCTTCAAATACTGTGAACAAAACTCAGCTAGCAACTAGATACAGTCTTTAGTACCTGTGTTTTATGAGCTGAAGATAAAGTTGTTATTGAGAATGAAGATATTAATAAGTCACTATGGTCCAGCTGTCAGACACTGGGCCTGGCCACATGTAGAAGATGAGACCAAACTATTTTGTGGTAAAGAAGACAAGATGTGTGGAGGTCTTCAGTCTTGATAGAGTCCAGTCCAGTTATTTTGGGGGCAGCGTGTGTGATGAGCCTGGCAAACTAGCTTCTCTTCTTCTTGGACTCTTTGTTTTTCCTGCATTCTGGACTGCAGGTCATCCATCCTGCTTCTCCTGCAGGTTCTGCTGTAGCTGGTTATTTGAGAGAGGCCTTTGAGATGGTTCGATTGAGTCTGAACATTTTCCAGATTCTGCCTTTCACATAAGACGAACGCAGCGGGAGATTATCAGGGTCAGACATGTTGACATCATTCAGACCAGGGGTGGCGTCCGGAAAGAGCATGTACTGCATGGTTTTATTTTTCAGCACAGTAGCATCAAACATTATCAACATCTTTTTAGGTGTCTCCTACGTGTTTAATGCCTCTTTTTCCTCCTGAGACATTTGTTTCTGTCTCATGTGAAGTGCACGTCTGAAGCCAGTTTAACAAAGTCAATACATGTGGGAATTACTGTATATTGCATGAGCAGGATTTACTATGTTAGCTAGGACTTCATATGAAAACCTGCTCTCCTCTCTTCAGAATAAGCATAACAGGTGTCAAATCGCCCACTGTGTTGGTTTGCTTAGTTTTTTGAATTGTTGTGGGGGAGTGCAGGGGGCGCTGCCTATTTTCTTGCCACACACTGGGATTCTTATTCAGCTGCAGGGATATAAGGAGACCGGTCTGAGGAATGTGAAAAGAGACCTTCATTCTTCATTTTCTTTCTCTCACAGACTCAACCTCCAACCCCATGTTGACTCATTGCACAAGTGCAGTCTCAGTTCATTTGGTGAATGGGTAATTTTTTTTAAAAACAGATACTGTGAGGACGTTGCTGCCATTTCTCCATTGTTAACGGAAATACAAGCACAATACCAACAGCACAACTAGTCTTGTGTTAGAAAGAACTGAGTATCCATTGTTCAGCCAAGAAATCAACATCAGTAAGTCGTGTGTGTGTGTGTGTGTGTGTGTGTGTGTGTGGTCCGAGTATTACTCATGTTGTGTGTCCTAAATCTGTTTATACTGTCTCATTAAGGGGACTTATGGGGACAAAAATAACTCTCCATAATGTGAATCATTAGATTTTAAGGTGAATACACGTTTCATTGTTTAGTTTAGGGTTAGCCAAATGGTAAGGGGTAAGGTTTTGGTTTGGCTGTCCACAATAATTGCAAGTAATGCAAAGTCCTAGGAAACCAGCACAAACCTATACATGCATGTGTGTGAGTGTGGTCCAGGTATTTCACATTTTTATCCACTTGTGGGGACCTCAATCTGTTTGGCAAAACTCAAGTCTCCATAACATGAATCATTACATTTGAAGCTGAAGATATTTTTTAAGGTTAGGTCAATTTTAGGTTAAAGTTTGGGTTAAGTTTAGGGAAGTTGTTTTCTTCTCCTGACTTTTTAGTTCCACACTTATTCTTCCTCCCCTTCCTACACCCATAGCTTGATCCATGCCTATCTCACGCCCTCTCCACCTTTCTGTTACTCACTCTTACCCACATCTCTTGTCTCGTCTCAGCGATTTTGTCCTCACCTGCCCCCCCTCCTTCACTTTGCTCTGCGTTTCGGCTGTTCAGTCATGCTGAGATAAGTCCTTGTTCTCCTTTGCGAGGCTAGATTTGAGCCGCTAAAGAGCTAAACTAGATGGAGCGGGACCCGTGACCTTTGACCAATTTGCCCTGTCACCCCTGTCACCCTTCAGACCCCCACTGTGAATTTAAGACCATTCCCACAATGAAAGGGATTTACTCAGGAAATCCTCCCTGAAACTGAATCCACAAGTGTTTCTCGCATCAACTAGAACAACCTTGATTTGTGAACACCTCTCTCAAACATAAAACAGTCGAGAACTTAATTACAAAGGACCTCCATTGTTTTAAATGAGAAATTCACTGGGTATACAACATTGAATGTATAATATTTAACCATTTGAATATTTGGCTTGTTTTCCTTGGTTTCTTTCCCATTTCTTATGTTCTTCTTCTTTATTTACACATTCACAGTATTTCTCAGCACGCAAAGTATTGTCATTTTTATATTATGCTCCTATAAGTCCCCTTCAATTTTACACACTCATCAAAAGCAGTTTCCTAATTATGCCTGATTTCTTTTCATCAAGATAAATAAATTATTTCTCTAAAACCAGTGTAAATATGAACAAAATGTTATAACAATATTAAGAATTCCTTTTTCCACCCCCTTGTTCTAATTAAATGGGTTCAGTAGTTTTTGTGTAAAGAGAGACAAACTCACAGTTAGCAATAGAAACATCCCCTCCTTTGCAGAGGTAATTATTTAGATAATTTCCTTTATTGTAATGTTCACAGGTATTTCAGGGACACTGAGTTGGCTGCTTAGTGAAGTTATAACGAGTATGTCTTTATTAAAGCCTTAAAGATTTGTCAACAGAAATAACTTTGTAACAGAAAAGGAGAAGGATCATGGCGACATTACTGTGATGAAAAACTAACCATGTTCTTTTTCTTTCTTACCGACGTTCTCCAGGGTGGCAAGGGGGTGTGTCCGGTCATCATGTGCACGAGAGTCTGTCCTGACCCCGTCCCTGAGTGCCAGCTGTTCCCGGGAGAGGTGGAGGGGCCTGAAGAGGAGGTGGCAGACGACTGCAGGGAGAGGGAATCGGACAGAGACAGCGCAGTGGAGAGCACCCAAGGGTCGGACACCTCAGACGGGCTCATCAGAGTGGGGGACAAGGAAGACGCACTCGGGGAACTCTTTTTCCCGGGGGAGAAGTAAGCACTGCTCCATTTTTTTCATACTTCCAACAATGTTTTTACCTGTGTCAGTTTGTTGGTTTGTTACTTTATTCATTAGCAGGATTATGCAAAAATTACCAAACAGATTTCCACCAAACCTGGTGGTTGTATGGGCCCACGAAGGACCCATTTGATTTTGGTGCAGATGCAGGATGTTTTTAGTTTTTTTCACATAGCACTTAGGTTATCAGATCACTTCCTTTTTTCTTTTCTGTTTCTACAATAAGAACTAGACAATCATTCATTTCTTCACTTCCTCTTTCCTGTCTGTCTCACTGCCTCTAAACTGTTCTCCATTCCACTTTCAGATGATGCTGTTTGTTCCTGTGCGGCATTCAGTATAGATCTTCATTCATGTTGACCAATGTCTTTCTGTCTCACAATCTTTGGTCCATGAAGCTCCTGTTCAGCCTGATGGCACTCAATACTGTTTTCTCTCTCAGCTGTGACAGAGCTATTCTGAAGGAGACGTATAATCTAAAGTAAATGTGTGTCTCATTCTGTTCTTCCTCTATTACTTATGGTGTGTCTTTCTTTAAATTTGACTCCCACACATAAGTATGAAAATAATACCAACCTCTCCCTCTTGTTCCTCAGGTGTGGTCAGACTAGCGTCTCAGTGACCTCTGACGTATCGACACGTTCCTCAGCTTCTCTGAACGAGGAGCAGTTTGAGGACTACGGGGAGGGGGAGGAACCAGAGTACACTCTCAGCAGCCCCTGTCCTGACGACGAGACTCGTACCAACGGATACTCTGACCTCGGTTCATCTGTTCCCTCAAGGTAATGGAGGGAAAATAAAACGCTCTTTGTGCTTGATTCCAGTTCAGGATATTTCAATCAGGAGAGAGTGTTAGAGTGATATTAAATTTATTATGAACAAGATGAACAGACTTTGGCGCTTAGACTAATACAGAAAGTAGAACCTTATGGAAGCAGTCCAATGATATAGGTGCTTTGGATGTGAAGGAGACACCCCCCGCTGCCCAGAGCGTAGACATGGTGGTGATGATGAAGACGGAGTATGAAGTTATGACATCCGATGAAGGCCTCTGATTCAACAATTTGAAGGGCGATGACCTGGGTTGAGCTGGTGCAGGGCTAGATGTAGGTCACTCAGTAATGTCTGTACTGAACTAACAGCTGAATGACAGCAACATTTTAAATTCTGATAGCTTACAGGTGATTGGCTCAGGGCGAGTGCGTCCGGTTGTGATTGGATGAAAGCATGTGATTTAGGCGACATGTTAGCTAAGTTTTGGCACTGAAATAAAAGTTCAGTTTTGTTATCAATAGATGTTAAGAGGTTCAGAGAACACTGAACATGCTAACTGAGTAGCTGAAAGAATATTGTCTACCTTTCTTTTAAAATCAGTGTTTTGGGTGTGACATGGTTGGATTTGGAAAAACCCAATGCAGAATGACAGAAAGGTCAAGATAATTACCGCATAAATAGCCTTCATTAGCCTTTGAATTGATGTGATTATCATGCAGGTTTCTTTATGAATCATATTTGCTTCTGGCACCACAGCAGACGTTTCATGGTGGAAACCACAGTGCAGATAATGAAATCATTTCAGTTGCCTTCTGTGCTGTTAAGTCCTGATGAAGCAAAATGTAAATCACTGACCAGTTTCTGGACCTCGAACTCTGTTAAATACATTTTTGCTTGAGCCTCCACGAAGCAACCTCCACAGTCGTTTCCTGACTCATTATTCTGAGTCCTGACTGTGTAAGTTTAGCTTTGGAGTTCTTTTCCTTGAGGCCACATTAATATTCATCAAAAAGCCTGCGCTTAATGGGATTAGGTCTCCCGGCTGATGACCAGCAAAACTGCTCCATGCTCCTTCCACGCATACCAAGCAGACAGAAGTCTCCAAATGCAGTTGGCATGGAGATTTTTATACAAAATAAGGCCCTGGTTTATTAGAAGTATTAGACAGCTCAGCATGGGAAAGAAATCAAGTTACAGAACAAAGTAGGTTAAAGGTGCACTAGCTAATTTTGATGTAGGGCCACTCAAACCACATCACATTCTCCAAAATCATCAGGTTTAAAACTCAACTGCGTTGACTTATATGGGATGCATATAAAACCTAGATTGTTATATTGGAGTATTTAAGTGACTTTTAGGATCAGCGTCTTAATGTCCTACATTTAAATGTGGACCTCTTTGCAACATTTTTCAAAACAATAAAATAAAAGGAGTCTGGATTCAAATATTCCCTCCAAAAAGTGCTTACAGTGAATTTTCATGTAGCAAAGAATTTGGACACAGTCAAACCTTACGCAACTGTATCAGTGGTGGATCACTTCCAATCAGCGTGAGGGGGTAGTCAAATCAAATATTTGCTTACTGTGGAGAGCCCCATCACAGCGTGGCTTTATGTCGATCTTCCAAATTCACTTCACATTAGCGTATGTGTGATTGTGCTCCCCCCTCGTCTTCGACCCTGTTCAGACCAAACGTCTTCCCTGAATACTCAGCACTAAGCACACCCAAATGCATCCTGGGATCCAACCACTCAGACCACATTCAGAGGAGGTGTGGGACTCATGTGTCGATTTTCTTTTCACTGTGTGAACGCAAACACATTCTCCCATAGATCTGCAGCTCATTGATTCACTCTGCCCCCCTGATTCTGCTCTCTCTCTCTCACACACACACACACACAGTGACATTGGACTCATCTGTAAACTCGTGTGAACACACATACTGTCCACTTGTGATCAGATCTCTCAGGACAGATGTTAATACCAGGTCTGACCAAGGCCTTCGTCTTTCTTTCTCTCTTTCAGTTTTATTTTTTATTGGTGTTTCTTAGTGGCTAGCCGGATCATTTTTTAAGGGTCTCTTGGCAGCGGCTACTTGGTTTTATACACTCACATGGAGACTCAATGACACGCACATGAAATTAAAGACGGTTCACTTTAAATTGACTCCACAGTGTTTTCATGGGCAGATAAAAATTGTGTGTGTGTGTGTCTTTGTGTGTTTACAGTGCAGGACAGACTCCTCGTAAGGTGCGTCAGCATTACTCCGGCGAACTGATGGATGTCTATTGCTCTCATTGCAGCAAAAAGGTCAACCTCCTAAATGACCTGGAGGCTCGCCTGAAAAACCTCAAGACTAACAGGTAGAAAAACACGCACGCAATCACACAATACAGTATTACACAAGACAAAGACCTAGCAAGCACTGGTGGTTGGTACAATGTCAGTAAGGAGAATTTGACTCTGAGCCAAAACGTTGTGCAGTCTTATGTGTTTTCCTGCTCTCAAACCTTTCCTGCTTACCCCCATACTTTCAAATCAAATCAAATCATCATATACTGTATGTGCTACCTGCAGTCTGTCCTGTCAGTTTAATTTTAATTAAAATTTGATAATAATTCCACCTGCTGAAAAATACTGTAGCAGCAGCACAATAACCAATTCCACAATCTCTTATTGAAAACAGGTGGAGAGACGTGTCTCTGTAAAGACTTGGCCTTGATTATTCTGGCGGGTTGTCAGTACACACAACTTGAACACATGAAATGACAAACAGCCTCTTAGCTATTATGTGATGAAATGAGACTGGTGAGGCATCTTCATTCAGTGTCGTTCAATAGGCAAGATGTGATATAATTACAGGGGTGTGTTGAAAACACACAAACACTAATTGATGGTTATATAAGGTTGTCACTCCTGTGCTTACCTCATCAGCCGCTGTAATGTTGGAGCCTATTATTGGAAACATAATCCTTAGTGACCATTAATAGCTGTGCGGTGTACCTGCAATCACATGTGCACACATGCAAACACAGGGTCATGTAAGAACAATAGATAGCAGAATAATGTTCATGAGTACACTGTGTACTGTTTAGTTACTCAGCAGAGACACAGATCTATAATCCAGCATGTCTCTCCCTATAAGACCTGTGCTTTCCACTTATGAATAATGAAGCAGAGCGGAAAGAGTAAGAATCAGAGTGAGATGTATATCGATCGCAGAAATGACTTAGTGAGCTCATAGAAAGTGGATATGAAAAAGATGATGATGGGATTTTATTTTGATGAAGGAGAATATACTCAAACGTATATAAACATGTGCAATTAAATGATATAAATATTAGTGTAATATATTTTTCAACAATAGAAATATATATTATTATTCATTTTGCCAATGTTAATATATATTTACATAGTTTTAATCTCTCTGTTCTGTTTGTTTCAGTTAATGATGATGTTAGTTGTCTTCATTAGCATCATTTGACCCTACAGTACATTTGCTCATTCTTGTTATTTCAATTTGAAACACAGACGATCTGAACATTAGACTGACAGAATCTGTGAGTTTTGGTCCAGCAGTCATAAACCCCTTCACAATGAACCAGGAGTGAATTATTATTATTGTTGACGTGTCTTCAGTGTTTCTTTCTCTCTTTCCCACAGTAAACGGCCAAAATCTTAATTGCCATCAGTAATTATTGTTCCAGCGCACTGTTGAGTTGTGAGTCTAGACGTATCCATGACGATTCACTGTAACAAATTGTTTGTATTTTGTGTTTTGCCTTTGTAGCCCCAACAGGAAAATGTCCAGCACAGCGTTTGGAAGGTAGGTTACCTGTGTGTGTGTGTGTGTGTGTGTGTGTGTGTGTGTGTGTGTGTGTGTGTGTGTGTGTGAAAAGGTCACTCACTTGTTCTCTGTGTTTATGCATTATACAGCCTGAGCTGCATGTATTTGCTTTATTTGTTGACACACACACACAATTCACAGATCAAGATAGAGCTAGATTAGCAATCCTTGCTTCCTTATCACTCTGCAGCCCGACTACAGAGCTTTACCAGCCAGTTAATTACTAACTAGTTATTCAGAGATAATACAGGGTGTCTGGATGAGATTTATCAGATCTGTAAGCAGAGACGTGCAGTAAAATCTTTAGTTTTTCCTTCCAGGCTGCAGAGAAATGGGCGTTTCAGTGGTGGCCGCTTCATGGCCTGTTCCGCCTGAAATGTTTTGTATCCAGGCCTTTTGTCCTATTTCCACCCTCAGTAATTGAATTACAGTGACAGAGTGAAAATGGCCTGTCAGACCTGATCTATGTATTCAATATAAGGTTTGGCTCCCTCTCCCTGTTCCCTCTTCTATCCTCTCTGTCCACTTTGATTATGTCTTTCACTTTATTGCTCTCTTTATCTTTTGCTTGTTCTCTTTTCTGTTTCCGCTCCTCTCTAATCTCAGTAATGGAGCAATGGCTTGTTGTTGTTTCCATCAGTGAAACAGGGTCATTTTGGCATGCCCCACTTGACTGAGTGACACAGTCCCATATACACACACTCACACCTGTGTGTGCTCATTTTAATTCTGCATGCAGGAGCTCTCCCTCTCGGAACTGTCCTTGTATCCCTATATCATTTATCTTCCAGCAGCCTCTATGCAGGGCAGATCATACTTTCAGGCTCTCTCTCTCTCTCCCGCACACACACACACACACACACACACACACACACACACTAAATATTACTCACCCAGATCTATCCTCAGCTGGTTCTTCCTCTTATGTTTGTAACCCTGTGTGTTTGAGCAGGCAGCTGCTCCACAACAGCAACTTAAGCAGCAGCAACGGCAGCACGGAGGACCTGTTCCGAGACAGTATCGACTCCTGTGACATCGACATCAATGAGAAGGTATGGATATGTGTGTGTGTGTGTGTGTGTGTGTGTGTGTGTGTGTTTGTGCCGCAGGTTTGTCCAGATGCTATGTCGTAAGCTCTTTTAACCACCTCTTTGGGAAGTAATAGCTTTCTGTATTCCTGTGTGACTATAAACAAACCATAAAAGGATAAACACTGTATATCTCACCTTCAGCCTTTTTTTTTGCACTGTTAGCAGCGGCTCTAAAATCCCAGAGAGTGAAGATTTGTTCGTGGTGGATGCACAGCTTAAATCGAGAATGCTAATTTATGATCATCCCTGTCAGGATTCTTCTTGTGTCTACAAAATACAGGAATATATGAACATTACTTAGAATGTATAAAATGACAAGACTATGGGAATTGCTGTACTATAATAATGACTTATACTATGGAAAATATTAGTGCTACTACAGAGGCCTTATGTATTTGCTTTTAACTATAGAGTCATTTTGCTTTCATGTAATTAAAGATATTAGTTTTGTTGTTTTTTATTGTTTTGTCATACTGGCCAGCATTTTTGAGCAAACATCATTTTAAATAGTTTTTGTGGCTTTGTTGGATACATTAGTCAAGATGACAGAAAACTTCTCTGTTTCTATCAGGTGACTTCTCTGGAGAAGAAGGTGGCAGAGCTGGAAAATGAGATTCTGATGAACGGTGATCTCAAGTCCAAGCTGAAGCAGGAGAATACACAACTAGTACACAGGTACAGAAAGCGGTTCTTTCAAAAAATGGAAAAAAGTTACACTTTGTATAGACGCTGTGTTGAATTTTATGTGACGTGTTCATCATGTCAGGGTTCATGAGCTGGAGGAGCAGCTGAAAGACCAAGAGACACGAGCAGAACAAGGTCTGCAGGAGGGACTGAGACGACATCGAGAGGCCTACGGCAAGATGGAGCGAGACATGAACACACAGACAGAGCTGCTGGCCAACCGGTGAGACGCACACACACACACACACACACACACACACACCTCTACTAATGTACACCAGGTAAAGATTTTTCTTTTTTAGTATGAGAAGATAATATGAGTCAGTGTTGCTCATAAATCCCCTTATATGGGGAAACATGCACATCGACATGTCTGCTTGTTCAGAGAAAATACTGTTTGGATCTTAGAGATTCCGCCTTCACATTAGTCAGCTACTCCTGGAGCCACAGCACATTGTTTGGCTACAGCTGTTCTAGGCTTGCACTCACTATGAGACACTCATTTATATATAAATGTACACTGACACACAGGATCCTGTGTTTTTCAGAGTTAAGCAGCTGGAGGAGGAAAACTGTGAGATGTCTCTTCACATGTGCCGACTCAAGTCACAGACGGAGAAACTGGATGAGGTAAGTCGTGTTTACTTGTCTATGTATATTTGCTCACTTTAATCCTGTTTGTCCTTTTGTTATTCTGCTTTGTTTTTAAAGAACACATCTGCTTTTCTTTCTTCCAGTGTGACATAGGTTTTTGTTAAAAAGTTAAAAAGACCAAAGTCCGCAGTAAAGTCACAAACAACACTGCTCGTCAAGGTGTTTTCTGAAAGGCAGAGCACGTAAATGTTTTCAAGTGATAACCCAAATTGAAATGATCAACCTGAATATGAGCACATTATGTTTCCTTGAATACATCTAGGGCAACTCATGAGGAATTGTCATTTTAGTTACAGGATGGGTGTGAGAACGGCTGCGTATTGAACCACACCTCTATTTTGAGTGTAAATAAGTAACAGCAAACCGGATCGTTGTCAGTTATACATGTTGTCGAATGTGTGTCACAGAAACTAAACTTGATATATTTATACTTTACTTAAATACCTTCACTCTGAAACCAGACCTGTGTGCGTATGTCTGTCCCTTGTCAGGAGAAGCAAAGAATGACAGACAAGTTGGAGGACACCAGTCTGCGCCTGAGGGACGAGATGGACCTCTACAGGAAGATGATGGACAAACTGAAACAGAACAGACTCCAGTTCCAGAAAGAGAAAGACGCCATGCAGGAGGTGAGAGGGTTGTTCTGTGCAATCACACACACACACACACACACACACACACACACACACACACACACACACACACACACACACACACAAATGGATTCTGTTCTACTGCTAACTCTCTTTCACCTTTCTCTCTCTCTCTCTCCCACTGCAGTTATGTCACCTCATACACCTACACAGAAAAAAGCTGCATTGACATTATATAACATTGTTCATCGGTCCTTTATCTTTTGTCCAGCTGATAGAGGACCTGCGTCGAGAGCTGGAGCATTTGCAGCTGTTCAAGCTGGAGACTGAGAGGCCGGGCCGCGGCCGCACCTCCTCCACGAGCCTGGCCGACTTCAACTGCAGGACCAGGGAGGTGGAGCTGGAACACGAGGTCAAGAGACTCAAGCAGGTACTGATGAAAGCGCCTCTCTTCAAATATTTTGTTGTGTGTGAGACTGCGAGTTGTAGCTCTTGGTTTTCAGGGATATCTGCATAGTGAGCAAGAAATGCTTTCCACACAATGACCACATTAAATTCAATTTGTGTTTTTTGGCCAGTTATCTGTTTTTTCTGTAAAATGGCACAGTTGCTGTACAAAAACAGTACGTTACTCTTGGAGGAAATATTAGTAGAGGTTTCAGATGATGCAGCTCATAGATTCATACTCAAGTTACATTTATCCCTGCAGAGCTCAGCGCACTTCACCAGGCTTTTCTGCCTCGGCAGGCAATTATCATTCACCTGCATTCAGTTATGTGTAACTGTGCCCACAGTGTGGACAGGTGGTTGGTAAAGATCGTGTTGGCCCTTCTTATTCCCTAAAAACTCCTTTAAAACTCCCAGCACTATCCTCAGCATAGAGTACTGATAGTGATGTGACCGAGAGTCCAGTGGACCTTAACCCAGCTCAATGTGGCAATACTGTTCAACATATTGATTCTCTGTTCTTTGGTTTCACTTTTCCCTAAATACATTTGCCTCTAGGTACTTGCCTACCAAAGTTACTGTAAAGAGACTGAAATATCATGCTCCTGCTTCCAGCCTCCGCAAAGTGCACAGACCTGGTGCAAAGTAAACATGAGAGATAAGGGAGCAGATGAGAGTGTTCCTCAGATGTCCTCTGATTAGACCTGTAAAGGACGTTTTCTGTAAGCTGCGACATGTCATGCTGTGGATTGGAAATTGTGCTTCCACTGACCTGAGCCAAAAGTTATTATCAAAAGGAGAAGTTGCTAAAAGACTGATAAAGGAAGGTATAAGGTCCATGTCCTCCAGTAGCCTCGAGCCGATCCTGTCACACTTAAGTGAAGACGAGGAAGAGGAGATAATGGGTTTTTTACCAGCTTCGGTCTGCAGATACTTTTTTCATGTCTTTCTTTATATCACCTTCTCCTGGCAGTTTTAGCCGGAGAACAATGCAGTGTAATTGTCTGGGATCTGATAAGATAGGAAGCTGTGTGTAGGTCAGTGCTTTGATTTGACAGATGCTGACCTGCAACATCTATGAGAAGGATAAAGTCACTATCTGGGACCCGGTTCAGACCTGGTATTAACATCTGTCCTGAGTGGTCTGATTCAAAGTGGTCAGCACTAAGTTCAGGTCTGAACTCACCAAAATGCATCTTGAGATCTGATGAGTAAATCACATTCTGTGCTGGTCCTGGATGCATGTGGCCACATTTTTTTTGGTTCGGACCAACAACTCAGCTGACGTCCTCTGACCCACCAGTTTCACCATGAATTAAACTTATTTTTATGCTTTTCAGTGAAACTATATTCAATTTATTTATGGCCACAATATCAACACTGATCACCACATAATGATACTTTGCCACAACACACACACACACACACACACACACACACACACACAATGACGTCAGATGCATCTGTAAGCTCAGACTGGGTTAAAACAAATCTTTGTGCACTACTATAAAACTCTCTGTATAGAGCGGAAAAGTGACACAAGCGTTTCCAGAGGACACATTCTAGATGCATTTTTTTCCGAGGTGTGAACTCTTGCCTGTGCGCCTCTGTAAATGTCTGTGTATGTGTGTCCAGCCGTTTGCGTCCCAGGACTTTCCTCCCTCTGAATTCCAGCACCTGGTGTTGTCTGGGGCTTGGCTCCACCCTGGCCTAATGGTAAAATTGCTTCTATGACGTCTGACCTCCCCATTAACCACTAATCACATTGGAGTAGTGTGAACTTGCTCGAGCTGAATTGGGGTCAGTGTTGCAAACCCCTCTTCCCAACTGATGGTTAAGAATCGAATGAGGGTATAAAGCAAACTGACCTCTTGTCAGCGCTCACAGGCAACTTAATCATGGAGCTTTCCTAACAAAGCAGGGGAGCAGTTTGTTCAGTAACACGCGTAACCCATGTCATGTCCTGTAGGTGTCGCTGAAATAGATGTGCATTGCTGTGTGTGCTGCTGGCTGAGGTTCCACATGCAGTGTTTTGGCGAATGGGCTGAGTGAGGCTTGTGTAGTGGTCATTTCAAAACAAAACAAAACATAAGCAGCTTTAATGTACCTGTGTGGTCCAGATGCATAACTCATTCTCCCCTCTCTCTCTCTGTCTCTCTCCCTCTCTCCCTCCCTCCCTGACTCTGCATTGTAGGAGAACCAGAAGCTGAGGGAGCAGAACGATGATCTGAACGGTCAGATCCTCAGCCTCAGTCTATATGAAGCAAAGAACCTGTTCGCCACTCAGACCAAGGCCCAGTCTCTGGCTGCAGAGATTGACAATGCCTCCAGAGACCAGGTAGAAATTGGGAGCAGAAACATTCAACCTTCTTTACAAAATGACAATGGAAATGATCAGCATATATTATTCTGAACAATATTGACAGCTGAGACTGAAGCGATGGGTCGAACGTATGTATCTGATCCATAATTTTTTGGCTTCATTCTAGATAGTGGAAGAACATACAGTCTATGATCTGAACTCTTTTCTTAAATGGATTTCAACAAGGTTACAGGATACTTATATACAGTTGTAGAGAGAATATTAACTTAGAGCCGAACTGTATATCTAGCACCAGTGTTCTGGATATTGCACTATTGTAGATTTAAATCTGTTGTGCATAATATGCAGGTCATCACTATGTATATGGTCACATATACACACATAACTGCTGACCAGTACCATGGAAATAAGTGTAAATGTAAAGTGACATTCATTTTGTATGTTCTTGCAGTGGGTCAACAAAGGAATAGTTTTATGTGTGCAGTGTTAAAAATAACTGAAATGAAAAGACGTTTGACATACTTCTCTGTCCCCAGCTAATGGAAGCCCTGAAGGAGCAGGAGGAAATCAACCGGCGTCTGCGACAGTACATGGACAAAATCATCCTGTCCATCCTGGACCACAACCCCTCCATCCTGGAGATAAAGAACTAGCAGTGACTCAACTGGAGTGAGACTCATCCTCGAACTCGGGAGGGCGAGGATCATTCCAGTTGCTGCATCAAGACCTGATTCCAGAGTCTGTACCAGAAAGCAGAGAACCGGGACATATAAATAGACAGGCATCGCCCCCTGCTGTTTGTGGCTGGAATAGAACTTCTTTGCAGCAAAGGCTCAAGGTGATTTTTCACAGAACTACAGAGCCACTGGTTGCTCTCTGACTTTTGATCATACTGCTGTGACTCTGCAGCGTGATCTTCCCTGCAATGTTTTTACTCCTCTAAACTGAAGACAAAACTGGAGATCCTGCATTCAACCATCACTGGACATAAAGTTCTCGGGATTAAAAACTGGAATGATGTATCAGACCTGATGTGGGTTCTACTGTTTCCTGGTGTAATGTTAGCTGAGGCAGTTAGGTAAAGTGTAGAGAGAACTTTAGGACAATACAGTGAGACAGACAAACAAAGTTGATATGCAAGACTGTAAACCTGAGCAAGACAGACACGGAGACGGGTCAGTCCACTGTTGCCCCATCTGTAGACTGCTGTCTTTTCTCCCCCTGTCATGTCGGTGTTCCCTGAATGGATGTGATGTGCTCGGACCAGCAGGTGTTGAAAGTAGACTGAGGACGGAGGCAGAAGTGGTGAGAGAAAGAAATGAGGAATTCCTCGATTTGAAGTTGAAAAAGGTGAATTAAGAGAAGGAGGATGCTATCAAAGGAGGGTTGGTTTTTTTGTGAAGTCAGCAAGGGTTTATTGAAGGTGACGTTTTTTGTTTTGTTTATATTCTGGAGAACATGTCTTCCAGGAACTTGAAACAGCACTTGCAGAGTCAATCAGTCCAGTGGTGAATCTTTTTTCACCGAGAAGTGGCCCTTAGGTCGGTTCAGACGAGCAGCAGAGTGTCACTTTATGAGGCTGCAACCGAGGAGTGTCTTTAAATTGTATACTTCCGTGGCTGCTATTCGCCAGCAAAGAGCATGAGCTTGAAAGTGGATTCTCTGTCTCTAGCAATAGACCCAATGATGTTGCACAGAAATGTAATGATATGAATGTTCAGGACATAAGATGGAGTGACGAGGAGCTATTGTAACGTGGTTTACTTGTCTCTCTATGCTCAGTCAGATCAACTCAGATACTGGATGTGAGCGTCCATCACCTTTTTGGTACAAAAAACTGGATTAGTATGTTTTTTTATTCCTAACTTTATTCAAGAATGTGGTCTTCAGTTTGCCTGCAGGATATAATGTCACTTGGACAGATTTCCTGCGCTCACACTCCTGTGCGCACATGAAAGCGTTCTGATTTCTCCTCTCTCTTCCTCGCTCTTGTTTTTTTCTTCTTCTGCGGTTGGATTATTTTGTGCGATAAATCTTTCAAAATTCCCCAACCAATAGAAATGCCAGTTGTAGTGTTGAAAATGAAAGTCTCCCACACACATCGTGGGTGTGTTAGCTTTACTCCAATTTTTGCACAGCAAAATCTGAATGTGACAAAATCTGAATGTGACATCAGTAAATCCTGCTCTCAAACAGAAACACCACGCTGTCGAATAAAGACGGGAAAAAATCCAACAGATTCGCAATCTCTGAAGCCTACAGGGCTCAGATTGTAGAGAATGGCTCTCTGATACTCTCTTATTCTGTAAATATCATGAATGTACAACTTGATATTTCACTTTGTGTGTGGCCAAAAAAGGCTTTTTGAATTTAAATCCGTAAGACACGGTGTGAGACATGAACAGTATTCTGTACTGTACTGAAGTCATTATTTAAGATGGGAAATAATTACAATCTGCTGTGTCATGTAATGATTTAAAACTTGAGTTTTGCTTCCTTGCACAAAAAAGACGTTTGTTTCCTTTTGCATGGTTCAACTTTTCTTCTGTCTGTGCCTTTTTGAGGACATTTTTCAGGAAGACGTTGCTATAGATTTCCACAGGTACGTTTCTATGTCTGTGTCCGACATATTTTCTGGAATTGTAAATGTTGTAATTATATAGTGATAATTTGTATTCACGTGCCACTCACCACAGTTTTTTCAGATTGACAAAATGAGATTTTATACAGTTTTATCATGAGAGAACTTGTGATTGCTTTAGGTGTTCACATTAGAAAAGCACTATAGCACAATGCTTTGTACGGTACGCAAACCAGGTTAGCAAATTGGGAATATTTTGTCAATGTAATATTATATTTTTTAATGCAGTGGGGGACTTTTTGTTTAATGTCTCAGTTTTTTTGTTATGGTGAGTCCATTGCTTTTCAATTTGCTTTGAATTGGCCTTTTTACATGGTTGTAAATCGTCTTCCTATCTGACACTAAATGTTGAGCATTATGAGCAATATTAACTTATCTTCCAACTGCTGATTTTTGTCCTGTTTTGCTTCACAAATATATAGCTGCTCGTGCCAACCTAGATCTAAAAAGAAAAAGAAAATTCAACAGTGCATTGATTGAAATGTTTTTATTATTAGGACTATTGAATGCAATGTTATCACTATAAATGGCAATAAAATGGCTTTGGCAGTGATGCTTTCTCATGAAATGTCATCATTTTAAACTGTTTTCAGTCCTCACAATAAACTACAATTTCTAAAACATAAATCCACTTATTCTGTTCTGTCAGTGAATGCTACTGATCTCTTAACTGTCGCAGTGATGAAGGTGTTTTTCTGTAAATAAAAACATTTACCACCTTGAAAATGATCTATTTATCTACAGTGTCTTCTCAAATATCCAGGCCATCAAGGAAACATATGATTCAACCAAGGCCTGTTGCCTGTTATCTGAATTAATACTGCAGTTTCACCATGTTTTCAGTTAGAGAACGTTTGAGAGATAGCAGGATGGTTTTGCATCATTTAACTCTCCACAGAAATAATTTGACAGACGTATGATTATATGACCTGCACATGAAAACAACAGCAAAAAGTCCCACAACAACAATTAAATCTTTGTGAAGGTATTGAAGTCTGCTGCTTATCAGTGGTGATGGAACTTCTCAAAGCATTGAACTACAGCCAGGTTCATCACTTTTGTGGGTCCCCTGGAAACATTTCCATTTTCACAATTTGCAGCACGTACCTGTATTTGCATGTGTCGTGACTTTTTTTGCAGTGCATGTGTCCTCAAACTGACAAAGTGTTTTTTTCTATCTGCATTTTGTTCTTAATTTGTAATTGTTTTTTCTATTTGCCTTTTTTTTTTTAATTTGTGATTTTTGATGTGATGTTTTTTTTATTTACACGTGTTTTTTCTATTTGCATGCGTTTCCTTCATTTGCAGTGGGGGTTTTTTTCGTTGTTTGCAGGGTTTTTTTTGTTTGCAGTGTTTTTTTATTTGCATTGGGGTTTTTTTTTATTTGCAGTGCCTTGATCTCTCTCTGCCACCGTAGGTTTCTAAAACCCAAACAAACCGGCAAACATGGAACCGATGTGACTTGCATTTTGTGTCATGGCGCCCCCCACCGGCACCTGTCCCTCCTGCTAACCCGCTGCCCCCTCAGTGTGTGTGGGTCACTGCTGCTGCTGAGCTCCATGGTACAGGTAAGAGGTCAGCGGGTTAGCCCGGAAACATCAGCTCCGTTCAGCCGCAGGTTGTTAGAATCGTTTTAGTAATGGGTTGAAATATTCCTCCATCTGTCAATCAGCAGGTTAACTACTGGGACGTGTTAGCAGGTGGCTAAGCTAACAGGTGGTACACGCACACACAGACTGCACAATTGATTGGACAATAAGGAGGAAGTAGGAAACGTGTATCTGCCCCTTTTCTCTAAACATACTACATATGGTTTACTGTGCTTTACAATTTTAAAAACGAATGTTTTTACATTTGTATATTTTTGTTATTGACAACAATCTAAAGTGGAAAAGCAACATACTGAGTTTCTAAGCTGTAGCACTCAAGTTCATTTATTCCTACTAAAGACATGAATCCTTGAAATGGGTGATAAACGTTTGTATTGTATTGTTATAGTTTAACAATATAAATCAGGCCCTGTAATCTGCTGGATTTCAGCAGTGATCAAATGTTACTCAAACCTGTGTGCACTGTACATCACAGGGACTATTTTCACCGGAGGATTAAGAGCTGTTACTGCTGCTGTGGAAGAGAATGTGGGAATGACTCCAAACAAAACACATTCTTCACAATGAAGTAACCTGATCTTTTATAGCTCTTGGATATCATTTGATACAATGGTAATGGTTGATGGCACTGAGGAATTACCAACACAAATATACAATATCACTAGATTCATACCTTAAATGTTGTGTGTTAAGTTATTAATGTACAACTGCTCATTCCCACTAAAACTAAAGGTTTGTGAACCAGACTTAGACGTTAACTTGAAATCCACACAGTGAGTGGACTTTGATGATTAAGAGAAAGACACCATCTGCTGTAATTCCCATTTGAACCTTTTCTTAAAGTTTTCTGTCAATTATAACTTTGATGTTCCTCAATATAAAAAACATTTAGGTCTCTTGGATAACTTCAGAATATCATGAGCCTTTGTTCTGGCCATCAGTTTTAATTATTTCAACTTATTCACTGAGAAATCCTGTTTGTCCGTTTGGTATGACATCTGACTACAATACCCAGTACTTCAATTTTCTTTCATTCTGCTTTTATATCGAACCTTCTGTCTGTACATCACAGGTGACGCAATGCTTCAGATTGATATGAACGTCAAGGGTAGAAGAGGAGGAACGCGTCACAGCACCTGTAGAGCGAGCAGTCTGGTCAATGGTCATGTCCTAGGCTCGGGTATTGTTAATGGGACCGCCTCTCATAATGGCTGCCCAGCTTCTGCCATGAAGAACAGTGAGAGCACACCAGCTGGCATTCTGAATGGCACCAAACCACAACACATGCTTAATGGTTATATTAACCACAGGCGCAGAGGCAGGTGCACTGAAGCAGCGCCCCCGAGGACGCTCAGGAAAGGAGGAGGTTTGATTTGTGCCGTGACTGATGCCTCTGCTGGGGTCAGCAGCTCAGACATTTCAGATGGTGTCTCAGTCAATGGGGCCGCAAGTCTAGACATGTCAGCTTTGCTTGGTAATTGTGACCAAACGGCACCAGGGCCCAGCCTGTCAATCTCAGCAGCACCGGCGAAGAACCGGAGGAGAAGGAAGAAATCCAGACGTGATAAGAGGTGAGTCACCGACCTGATGTCTGATTTGTGATACAGCCAAAATGCTTATTACGTCAATATTATTCAATGTTTTATATATATATAAGTAATCCTGAGCCATTATGACGACATAAGATGAAGGAAATTGCAGCTATTGACAGGGTGTGGCATAAAATAAAAAATACCACCCCATTGTCTCCTCTCTTTCGATGGACCTGCTAACAGCTCTACATATTCTGTTACCAGGACTTTACACATCGGCTGATACCGAATACTCATCCGATACCAGTGCATTTAAAAAAAAAAAAAATCAACTGTAAGATTTCTTATCATAAAACAGGCCCATTGCAAAGATGAAATTTGTCTTATGTTGAAATGTTTAAGCTGATCCCTCAACTTCTACAGAGTCTATGTGGTGCCACGAGAGGAGGAAGACTGGGAGGACGAGGTCCAAGAGGTCACACTCACTGGCTGGGAAAAGATGTCCTTTGGGTGCAGACCCTATGGTAAAGAAAAACATTTTCGACCAAAATGTCGATATGTTTGGTTTTTTTATAAGAAAAGTTTCAAGTACAGATGTTTGACTGGAGTTTTTTGTCTCTTCCAGATCCAGAGGATGTGCTTCATTTTGCTTTGCGGGATCTGACACTTAAGCAAAGAGAAAGAGTCGACCTGCCGCTGATGGTCAACTACAGACCAGCCAAACGCCACCCACGTCCTCTCAAGCTATCCTGGTACTACACTCCCCCTGAGCCAGGCCAGTTTGCAGACGCTGACGAGTAAGCCACATATTTTCTGTAGAGTTAGAGGAGTGCATCGGTGCCCATTGGAAAAATTAGATGTTGGCCTTTTTATTTAGCTCTTAATGGCACTGTGCAGATTTTCTGGTCGTAGTGCCCATGCCAAGAATATTTGTTCAGTCATTATCTTTCTTGCTTCCTATAATCTTAAACATTAGTGGAAGACATTAAATTTAAACCTTCAGGTTAGTATCTATGCAAAATCAAATTGTTAAAGCTATTGGAGGGTGGAATCTGGGTTGAAATCAAGTTGTTTTTTATCATTGGTTCTATTTTATATTCAGATTTTATATTTCTTTTAAATAGCAAGATATTAATTGGTTAGGCTTCTGCGATCTTAAGGAATGATTTTAGTTAATGTCACACTTCAGTGACTGTTGTTATCACGAATGCATTTGCTGTTGGATTTCATAGCTCCATCATTTTGCTCGTCTTTTAAAGAACTAAAATAATAGTTTCTATCTTTTAAGTTTTTGTGTTTGAATGCACCTGAATCGGAGACACTGTTTTGGTCATAAGTTGAGCAGTTATATAAATTGTATTGTTTATAAATTGCACATGTTCACAACAAATACACGAAGAAGAAGAGGAATCTTAATTTGGGACGGCCGACCTTACTAAGACATTTTGGGTTGATTGTGTAACAGCGACAAATCGTTACCTGCCTGTTCAGATCTTCATTTTCATAACAGCAATAAATCTAATTTTTTTTCTAACTTGTGCTCAACCCTTTCCATGTCTATCTCCATGAACATGAGGTTCACCCCTGCAGCAGGGCGAGTTGGCCTACCTCTGCTTTGTCTATTCATCCCATTTGACTACATTAATAATAATATTAATACATTTTATTTGTATAACAGATTTAACGATGCTGAAATGCACTTTACAGGACTACAAAAAAACAAAGCAAATAAAAACAGTAACTATAATTATAAATTAAACATCGTAAACACACATTGAAATATAACATGCACGTCTTAATCATTAAATGCAACTCACAGATTCACTCGTTGTTTCTGGTTTGAATTAAACGGACTGTTGTGTTGAAAGGAAGATTGTTAGATGTGATGACAGGACTTGGCCACTAGATGGGGGAGTTGTTGTAAGCTTTGGTTGTCTCTGCCTTCACTCCACACACCTTGGGGAGTTCATAGGGTTCATTCCCAAGGACTTGGGAGACACAAGCACTTACTTGCATGCTGCTCAGTCCTCATTTCTCTCTGGAGTTTCATTCCGACCAACAAAAGAGCTGAAGGAGTTGCAGGCAACTGTAACCAAGCTGATTAGTGTCATCTAATAATGCTAAATCATTCATGTTCACAGACACCGTGTCAATAATAGATTGAGGTCATAATCTCCAGTGAAATCCACAGGCGTGCAGTCTGATGGGACTCTGTAGTTGAATTTTAAGCAGAGCTCTGTGGGCTTTTTTTTCTCTCAAGCAAAAGTATGCAACAGATCCGCGGCTATCAAAGAGATGAAGTCACTTTTGATGTTCCCCAGCCCTTTGTGAGAATTTCATTGTTGATGTTGAGGGTAAATGTGGCTGCAGGAGCGGCGATAATGGGGGAAAGATGATGACATTGTGCTTTTCTGCTGTTTGCAGGGATTGAACGGTCACTGAAATGTCAAAAGTAAGTTTACCATAACACTATATATGGCTAATCCGGTGGGGGGGGGGGGGCACAATGTTCATGTGCCTTTTGTGTCTGTGTAGGTTTTCTTTTGGTCACCCCCCCATCAGACAAAAGACATACAGGTTAGAGCTGAGTGAACGTTGATACTTTTCCCTGCCTGTACTCGATGGCCTTGTGATAGAGTGACGACCTGTAAAGGCTATACCCCGCCTCTCCCCCCGTGCATGCTGGGATAGTTTCCAGGTTGTTCAGCCCTGAACAGAATAACTTAAAAATGTATGGATTCACCTTCATCTGCGTTTGTCTTTATCTGTTTGAAGCATTGGTTTCCAGGAAGCTGACCCAGACCGAGTGTCATTGTTCATTTACTCCACCGATGATCATTCTTTGCAAACTTGGCTTTGCTCTAACGTGAAATTCCACTCCAAAGCAGAATTCCCATATGCTATCTATTTGATCTTTTAGACAGTTTAATAAATATTTGTGAGCAGGAATAACTCTCCCAGGTCCAGAAACCAGAAAACCCAGGTTCAGATCTCGTCATGTCGTCATGAGATGGAAGCCTTTCAGCTGCTTATTCCACAGGAAGTGATGCATGCTCGCAATCTTCACGTCCATGTGACCTGTTTTGTTTGGAAGTATTAAGAAAAGTATTTATTATTGACAAAAATGTGCCTGTTTTGAAAGTCCTCTTCAACACCCTCGGCCTCCTCTCAGAGCCCATCTGTTATTCATTGTCACTGGAGCGGCTCACATACTGGTGCACTCTCACTTTTCGCTCTGTAAGCCTCGGCTGCTCTACATTGACAAATCCTGACTAAACCAGCATTCAGGATCATAAAATGGTGCATTTGCCTTTGCATTCAGGGGATTTCCCTTTATTGCAGCAGTAGCTATTATAGTCTTGCATTATAACATTTTGTGGTGGTGGAATAATAGAAATAATGTCTCATACATGTTGAAACCTTGGTGATTTATTAATGGTCTTATATGACCCTGTGAATCCTCTCACCACATCCTGTGTTGTGGATAAAGCAGCAGATATAACGCAGGTCTGAGCTGACCACTCAAACTGCTGCTATGGACTTTATTGCCCACAATGCGGAAAAGTCTTAAACTCTATAGAAAAACAAGAAGATAGATTACAAATAAAAACAATAGTAAAAAACTGGAGAGCTTGGACTTTATTCAAAGACAGTACAGTAGACCCATTCCAAAAAGTAGTTACCTTATACATAATAATTTAATAATTGCACTTGGGAGAAAATATTTCTTGTAGTGGTCTTCTGTGTACCCAGGTAAAAATAGTGCATTAATGACAAGACCTTGATCGTTTGTCATGCTGAGATGACTTTGGGAAATCAGCTCCAGGCCTGTAGCGCCACATTTCTCACATGTGAATCACCACCACTTCATCTGGTTCCAGTGTGACCAGTCATTTAGCATTCAGCCTCGTTATTGATCTGACAACATAATGGTTTGTTAGCCTGGCACAAGAAGAGACCCAGGAGGAGACAGGAAGAAGGACTGTGGTCAGCTCAACCTCCTGCAGCTACCCAAGGCAAACACGCTGCGGTAGCGGATAGACATTTGTCATGAAAATCCCTATCACCCTGACTGTGAGGTCCTATAGTGATATTCCTCCTCGTTGACCATGTAGATGCTTCAGCCAGATGTCTTTTGTAGTTGTATGTAGAAGTGATACTCTTCCATATATTCATCTTAATGTAAACAAAACCCTTGTAAAGACTTAAACCAAAGATAATTCATCTCCATCAACATGGACACTGTGGTTTATTATGGGTCAGTCTCACATACACTGTCCTGCTGCTGTAAATCTTCAGCAGAGCACCAAACCTGCTGTTTAAAATAGTCCACAGTGTTTGCAAGAAGCTCCCCTGCTGTTTTTGTGTTTGTTTTGTTTAGTAATATTTATTTCGTCAGTTGGAACCAATGGGGATTTAGGTGATAACAGGATAAGGAAGTCAGAAAATATTAAGAGTATAGCCTGTATATAAAGATGGGCGACAGGACTGCACTTCAAAAGTGAAGCCAAAGCATCTTTATTGCCCCTTGGTGTTTGACTTCAGTATTGGTCATAAATCTTCTCCTCCTTCATGTGAATGGGACATGGACCAAAATGAAAAGGTAGAGCAAACTATCTCTTTTGATAGTGAGAGTAGGTGGAGATGCATCATTCACCTTTATATCCAGGCTATGATTAGAAGCAACACTTAACATGTTGCCGTTTTCATTTAATTGTTTTACAGCAAGAGCAATATAGAATATTGATATTATAATGGATTCCTGTGATGTTCTGTGATATGTTTTAATGTACTGTATCACTTGTTGGCGTATTTTATGCAGTTGTGTAAATTATGCAATAGTATTCATGGCATATTTCAGATTTGATTTCAGCTTACATAAGCCTAACCCTACATGAAATTCAGTTATTTTAAAGACAGCTATATGTAAATAACTGCAGAATACACTCAACAAAGGTGCAGTCATAAATCTAATCTTAAAAGTTTTCCTGTAATATAAGGCAAAGTAATACATGCTAAGCTAAGATGCTGAACCATAATGTACTGTAGTTGCAGTATTAGGCCGTAACCAGTAGTTCACCATTAGGATGAATAAGACCAGATAAATTGCTCTGTTCCCTTAAGTCCTTCCACACAAACAGCATGTGATACAGTATGTGTTGTGTCAATAGGATCCTATAAATGACCTCCCACAGCGTGTGATAAATCCTGTAACCGGTTCAGACAGGCAACTACAGCCCTCTTGATTCTCTTCTGTGACTCACCTCCAGTCGAGGCTTTTTCATCTCTCCTCAGCGTGTCCGGTCATTTTCTGCGCCTTCTCTTGATTGATCTTATAATGGCATGTTGGCAAGTACAGGAAGATGCCTGTGGGCAGCTAACCACAGCCAGAGCTAACCAGTACAAAAACATAAATAAATTGGCTGTTTTGGGGAGCAGGGATTCCAGTAAATTAGAACAATTATCTGCAGTCCACTCGTGAAAATTGGTAAAAGATGGAAACTACAAGGCCCTTTGGAAAATCTGCCTCAGTCAGGCTAGATCCATGCCAGTGTTATTTAATTTGGGATTTTTTTCCCTTTTTTTGGCAACATTAAATTTAATGGCTCCTTGGCATTTTAGATTCTCTCCACTTCCTGGAAATGGTGCATAGTGTTTAATGGCTTGTTTTAGGCTGTGAGGATGTGAGCATGTTGATCTCTCTGAGGTTCTGTGTAGTCAAACTGCATCGCTTCCCAAAGAAGAAGGTTCATGGTTTCCTGTCATTGTGACTTGACCCAGTAGGAAGATAGCCAGAGTATAAAGATGTGGGTGATGGACCACTGAGGAAAAAAAGCATATTGCCTGTGGAAAGAGTTGGCAGTCGGCCACTGTAAAGGTTACAATAGCCTGATGACCGAGTACACTGTTTCTTAACTTTGTGATGAGAGGAAAAGGTGTTGCAATGCTTCAACAGTCTCATCTATCTCAGCTTGTCGATTACTAAATCAACTCTCTTAGTTTCCAACGACATTATTGCTTTTTATATTTTCAAATCCTGTGTCGCTGTAATTAAGTTTTAACATATTATATATGTTTTGTGGTGGGTTGTTCTGAGAGAAACCATTGCCACATCTGGTGAACAGAAGAAGGGCAACACATTTCGCTGAGTCAGAGTGATTGGAATTGGAGGCGTTTGCCTGGAGTCAAATCTTCACCATATGGTGAAACTGGAGCGCTGTACTAGCGCTGCAACCCTGGCTCTGGTAAACCTGCTTCCTGTGTGTCACTCTTCTGCTATTCTAGGACATTCTTGTTGTAGCACGATGGTTTTTATTAGGGTACAGTAGAGGAAATACATGCAGTATGTTTTAACACAAAATTGCCTCCTGATTCGAATTATAGCAACATATTTCTGCTGTGCTGCAGCCACAGTCCGGCTGGTATGAAAGAAACTGTCCCAACTGTCTCTAATTTTAGGAACTGAAACATGAGAAATTCTCGAGTGTTTAATATTGAAAAGCAC